CCGACATGGTTCAGCTACTCGGGTATAAAATCGACACGTATATTTTCTGGGCTTGGAGCCATGAAAACACATGTTTATGGAACGGATATATATATATATATATGCGACCGCTACTTCTGCCAATAGAGCATATTATTGTAACATGTACTAATATAATGGAAAAAAAGGTACGCCTCTGCTTTGAATACCGTGTATGACCACCGATTCCGGAAAATCGGTGTCTCACGAGACTGTTGATGTATCAACCAGCTCTTGCCGTTGCGGATCGATTCGTGGGCAAAGTGGTTTACAGTGGAAAACCCATTTTTAGCTTTTACACGCATTACGTGCACAGTGGTGTTCCCGAGGACCTGAGGTGCTTATGCGTCAGAAAATGTATTTTGAGTTTGTAAAATGCAAATTGTTACAAAGCGCTGCAACTACCATGAGATAATATTTTAAAATTAAAACGTACATACGTTTTTTAAAATTAATATTATTAATTCGCTGTGTATTGTAGTGTAATAAATCTTGTTGTTATAATGATGAACAAAATATCTACGTACATGTTTAAGAGGAAAAAAAAATCAAGAATCCGTAAGTAATACTGATATGAAGATTAAAAGAAAATAAATGCATGAATTATGATGAAAGACTAAGGCAACAGAAAAAAATAATAAAAATTATGAATTTCTTGCTATGAGTAGTCATAATAATAATATTTAAGATGGTGGATTTATTCCTATAAATGTTGACTAAAAAATATATTTAAGTACATTTTTAATTTTTAATCAAAACTTAAGTGTAATAAAAATGAGGGAATAAAAGATATAATAAGCATATTATTAACTTTTACTTTTAACAGTGAAATCATAACATTTACGAGGAACTTAATAAAATCTTCTTCTTGAGCTTCTACGGTCCTTGAAGGATATATAATATTACGATAAAATAATATTTCTAATACAATTGTTTTATTACCTCATTGTATATAATTTAGGTTAATGGTAATAGAGGTTTATTATCTCATGAATTTAATGATTCGTATAAAAATCATCAATTTGAAGTATATAGTATCGTTTATTTAAACATTTTGATGTGATTGACCTGAAAAGTATGCATCGTCCTGCTGACCTGTTATAAATAGAGTTTCGCTACGATTTTAAGTACCTATTATTTATTATTACATCATAGCCTGTAGGTCAAATGGATTATGTAAATTTCTATGTATATAATGCAGATGAGAATGAGTAAACTCGAACTGAAATTAAATCGAATCATTTTAAATGTTTCTAATCTAAATATTTTTCGGATTTTAGCGTAAAATATGCTATCTTCGAATTATGCTCTGAAAACTAAATAATAAGAAGCCGTGGATAAAGCGTTTTCCTGTTTATTGGTCGTATAAATATTAAATTAGTGTCTCCATAATATTTTACGTACACCGTATATTAAGATCATCCGAGAAGTTGGGAAACGTTATTTTTCAAGTAACAGATTACACGCATACGAATTACTTATATATAATAGGCGCACGTGCGTATTTATACCATGTCGTTCCGAGATAAATACAACAATATAAGTGTCGTTTTACCGACCACGGCACCTTATTAGCGCGTATCGATCGGCGGGCCGTCGCCATATTAAAGCTAATATCGTGTTATATACGTGAAAAAACATCGAGATTATTAAATAATAACATACGTACGTGCGAGTACCTGTACTGCGTTGCACACAATATACGATGTACACAATAACGATATATTAAATGAACAATGGCCGTTTTTATTGAAAAAATTCACAACCGGCAAAAGAAATCATTTATCGCGCGTTTAAAAAACAAAATTTTTCGCTACGGTATCTATAATAGCGTATGCTGCTGATTGACGATTTTCGACGATAGCTGCTACATCGGATATTTCGGTACGTACGTTCATGTATCGGTGCCCGATAGATTAATAACCACACCGGTCGCCGCCGACAAAGCGCGTGTTCGGAAGTCAACGGAAATTTGTCGGTGGTAACTTCGTGTGCACTACACGTGTTCGGCCCCCAAACAACAACAACGAAAATTACGTAGAAGATAATTATATAATAACGAATAGAGGAAGAAGAAAACAAGTGCACGATCTGAGCAACTATGTTATACGAGAAGAAATTTGTTCGCTCTTCCCCCCCCCCCCTTCCTTCCCCATTAATATCAGGAATTGCGCAATCGATTCACCGTCATCGTACCGAAAACCAGTAAAGTCCTCCGAGCCGCGCACATTACATTATTAACTACGCCTTCGGGGCAACGGCCACTGCAGCAGCGTTGGGAAACAAAGTCCGGCAAACGCGCACACGTATACCATAAAAATAAATATATAAATCACACACATATATATATGTATTTGTAAAATAATTTTTGTTGCAGACCGTTCGTTAAGCGACAGAGGCCCATCACGTTTTCCGTGGGAAATAGGAACATATGCATATTTTAATATGACGTACAATATTTTTGATTTTATGTAGCGCAAATAAGTATTGAACACAGGAGAAGAGGAAAAAAAACAATTTGATGATTCGAACGTGATCCGAATGGTTTTGAGATAAATATCGAAAACGCTTGTAGATCGATATGATGTACACGAATATTTATACAAACAAACGCGCGCGCGCACACACACACACACACATATACGGTTTGGCAGAGACTTTAACGCCACGGTTTTGGCACGTAATCATCGGTGTCGTTGCTGTCGCGCACAATATACACCTCATATTCGTACACGCTGTGTACCCGTGTGTATAACCCACCGTGGCTTCTCACCATCAATCATACACACGTACACACACTAAACACGAATTCGTAATAATAACACATTCTCGTCTCGTTTGTGCGAGTGTCGTATGTGTGAAACATCGCCGCCAGAGAACTGCATGACCAATGATCTGGATGCGTATACATATACTACGATGTGTTTACGATGAGAACCAAAGTAAATAGTTGTAAAGCATTTTATCATTATATTTTATTATTAATATTATTATTATTTTTTTTTTTTGTGCGTAAATATTTTATTATCTAATATATTACGTTCGTACTGTCGTTATTTACGTCTGCGGTACGAATCAAATGTAAAAATTAACAACGGGTCTCCGATTGAACGACGTGTACATACTTGTATATATATATATATGTGCGTGCCGTATAGCTTACAATAGCTGTATAAGGTGATACGGTGACGGGATACGGACGACGCGACACGGGATGGAAAAATTGCGCTGGGAAACCTGTTGCACCGATTTGAATTATTACTGCCACCGGCCGGATGCTGACCGTTTGTTTATGTCGTATCGTATTTATTATTATATTTTTATTTTTTTTTATTCGATACGAGTTTTAACAGAAGTGGTTTTTTTTTCTCCGTCGATGATCAGAGTATAACGAGTTGTCTCGATGAATTACTTAAACGTTTATGGATTAGTCATCCGAGACGATAACTGTTCGGGGTAAATATGGCCAATTAAAAATTGCGTCGATTTTTTATTTATTTTTTTTTTATGGACGATCGTTAACACTTCAGAGTCATTTTCAGAATGATGTACAAAATGTATAGACGATATTAGATTAGATTGTGCATTGTATATAATATACGATTACGTATTACAAGGCGAATAATCTGATGACAGCAAAGACGATTTCATAATGACCCGTTATTTCGTTTTTTATTTTATGACTGTTATAAAACTTGTTATACGGTCAACAAATGGCCTTGATTAAACGTCCAAAAATGTGTTAAAAACTAAGATAAAATTATTTGCATAAAACATGCATTTTGATAAACATATAATAGACATAAAAAAATTCATTGTAAGGGTGTTAAAATAAAATAATAAAGTTACTGGAAAAATGCTGCTAACTAGTAGTTCTCATATTCCATTATTATTTTGCAAAATGTGTTTAGTAAACACGCGTAGATGCTGACCGATAAAAAATATAAAATGGAAAAGAAGTCCATGTGAATTTAAAATAGTGGGTTTTTTTTTAATTCAGATCTGGATGAATAAATATTGCATTATACATTTTGAGATAACTGTTACATATTTTAAGTGAAACGGTATCAATTCTAGCGTATTAATTGACCAACTTATACATTTTGTGAGTACAATTTTTAATGCATATATGAACAACTAATAACTTACTTATTTTTATAAAAATTATAACTTTTTTAAAATGTATCAACTTTGACCAATCTAATATAACTAAAACAATTCTCTTATTGAAAAATAATATTTTAATCACAACAACTATAAAATGTTGTATCATTTTTAAACTTCCTCTTTTGAGTAATTTAGAAAATTTGTTTAGAACATTGAAAGATATTATATATCATGTCAAATAGATTAAGAATTAAATTATAGAAATAATATTAAATTATTAAGTGATATGTTTTTTAATTGAATTCTTTGGAATCGATGATATAGCTTATAACTTACAGAGTTAAAATTTTCAAATAATTTTATAACCAAAAAAATGTTGCAATGAACTTTTAACATTTTCAAACATCACGCAAATAATTTATGTTATGAACTGGATTATTTGAAATACTTTGAAAAGACAATTTTAATTTTTCACCGGTAATTTGTAGAGTTGATATTAAATAAAATATTATTTTTAAGTATGAACCATAAAAAATGATTTGTAATGCCTACAAGTTGTATTCAAATAACAGAGTTAAAAGAACAATAACAAATCAAATAACGCGTAGTCGACTCGCGGTAGTGCACACGCAGAAATTATAACTTTTTTAGATTTCGAATATCAGTATAGTGTGTGGGATTAAACTACGGGACACAGGCCTACCGTAGGTTTTACGCGTATATTACATATTATAAGTTAAGTATTAAACTTCCGAGTTTGGAGGGCTAACCGCCTAAAATCCTGTACACACAGGCGTAGTAGATGGCACAACGCGGATTAGCGATCAAAAACGATCGTATTTGAAAACCTGATCGTATGTTACAATCATACTCACTCTTGGTGGCAGTTGCGGCGGCGGTAGCTGCGGAAGATTTGACGGGCGCCCTTTTCTTGGGATCCGTAGCCGGCGACGGGGCGATCGGTTTCTTGTTCTTGTTCGTGGACGACGGTTTCGGCTTGGTGACGGCGGCGGCTCTCGGCCGGACCGGTATGTGTTGGTCGTCGGTGTACCGGACCATTCCTCTGTTGGGCCGCTGGGCCGCGGACGGCGGCAAGGCGCAGTGCGCGGCCACCAGCGCGGCCGCGACCACAAGCAGGCACAGTCTGAGGTTCGCGATCATCTCGCAGTGGAGCGCGACAGCGGAGCGGTAGAGCTGGAGCTGGAGTGTAAGTCGTGCGCGGCGGTGCCCGTGGTCCGTGCAACGGTAGCGCGCAGTGGTTATCGGTGGCCGCGAGTGCAGGTGGACGGCGAGCCCGTGTCTTCTGATCGTGCGCGTGCGGTGTTGGCGAAACGTCTGCGACCGGACAACTTGTACCGACCGATACGATTTGATGTGGTCCAGTGTCACGGTCGCGGATCCGTTTTTATATTTATATATCGCGGCGGCGGCGGCCGCCGCTCGGTCCGCCCCACCTGGCCGTGACCTAAACCTTGTCCGAGCGCGTCTCCGTTTGGCACGGCCCGTCTCGCCCGCGCGGCCCTCGAACCCCCGTGCCCGCCGTACTAATTACGTGACCACGTTGACCGGGATCGCGGCATTTCAGCGCGTCCGTTCGCGCGGAGATCGTAAGAACCGATATCAACCATACGTACGTACATGTATGAGTTCGGTTAACTCACCTGTTTAACGCACCCGTTTTACATGATATCGTGTGTACGTTGAGCTGCTGCTGCAGTCGGTACGCGCACGAATCCTATTTATTACATTTATTATAATTATTGACAAAGTCGTCGTGTACGTAACGACGTGTGCGCCTGAACCCGTAAACGAGTTTTTGTCCAGAACGGATTCGCATACCTACTCCGAATTCGAACATTCGTTGGAAACACACTGATCGAATAATTATAATTTATCCCAGGTTATGATGACGAAAATACATTTTATGGAATGATCATAATTTAAAAAAAAAAAAAAAACATATTTCGCCTTATTCAAAATTTAAAACCGTTATTAAGAATTAGATCTAAAGCAATTGCAGTTTTTAATTAAAATAATCAAGAGTTAGAATTGTATCAAAGTTCTATTCTAACGTTATGAAAAACAAAATTAATTGTTTTAATAAAATTTTGACATAGTTATTGTTCGGGGTTTTTTTTTTTAAATCGGAAAACTACCGAGAAAACAAAAACCTACCGGATATGTTAACATAAGTATAAATTTTTGTCACTATTAAAATATACTATATGAGTTTATTAGTGTAGAAAATCATAGTGTGAACTAATAATATCATATCGATTGGCCTTAAAGAGTTTACGATGTACTAAAAATCTGTCACGAAAATGAATAATAAATGACTCAATCACCAGCAGGGAATGCAAATGGATTTGTTTTGTAATAATATTATGGTTTTCCCGTTGAAGCGTACGTTCCACACGTGTGGATTAGCATTTGTCGGTTTTTTATTTTGATCGATTGTAAAGAAGATTCGGTCATCTTGATAAAACGCGTTATTGCCGAAGCAATAAATTTTAATTACAAAAAAAATATACTTCTGAAGTAGGTGGTTGGACGTACCTTGTCCGCGCGCGTGAACTCACCACTTCAGGTTTCCGTGAAATCGATAAATCCGTCCAGAGACGCAGGTTTCGCAACAGTACAACTACTATAACGTGCACACAGTACATAATTCGGACGGACGTGCATAATATACGTTGTACGTATGCTGTAGGCAGTGATGGGAATAGATAATGCAAAATTTATCTAGATAAAGATGAAATTATAAAGTGTACAAATTCATCTAGATAAAGTTAATAGATAAAAAAAATTAAAATATCTAGATAAAGATAAGAGATAATTTCATTTTTATCTAGATAAAAAAAAGATATTTTCAAAAAATGTTATTTTTTGGTCAATATTTCATATTCTAATAATATTTATGAAAACTCAATTATAATCAGGGGCGTATTTAGAAATGTCTTATTGGGGACGGGGGGAGGGGTACAAACAAAATGTTCAATGTGTACATATTTATAACTAGGCTTAGGGACTTCTAGCATTTGCATACTTTTTTTAATTATTGTTAAATATAGCAGTGCGAAATAAATTCGTTTCTCGGTGCCATGATATCAGATCTAAAATTTGAATGTGCATATTTTTGCATATTTGATAGATTTTGCAGGAGAGTGCTAATTTTATCATTATTATGCTTATTTTGCATAACATATTTCAAATTTTATTATTTGAAATTAAAAACTATTTATACATATTTTAACCGATCGAAAAAAAAAATGTACCAAGAGGACTTTTAGTAATATGCTATCTGCAAACTACCTCTTATATCTCGTTATAATTTTTGTGTAAATATAAATAATACTATAAACCCCTATCGACCGTATAACCCGCTGGATATTGACCGGACGTCGATAAAGATCATAATCGATATCAATGCTCGACTTGGAAAAATTAAAGAAGGGGAACTCTATTTACTTAAAAAAAAAGAGCGTCCCCAAAACTTGTTAAGCGTTATAATTATAACATAATAATAGTAGGGGGACGCTAAAATTTCTGAAAATTAGTTGGGATACTCCGTCCCTTTGCGTCCCCCTCAAGTCGAGCACTGACTCGATATAGAATAATAGATTATTTGTTTAGTGTTCAGTTCAGTCGATTATTATCCGTCGTTGTTTTTGCATCTCGCAACCATACAACGTTGAATCATACGTAAAACGTCAAACGCGATAATTTGTAACATAGTGTTATGCCGAAATTACAACAGTCTACGAGTAGCCGACTACAAAGTTTTGTTTCGGAGTTTAAAAATATATTCAAATTCGATGGACACATTTTATTTTGTGTACTATGTGGTCATTTTTTTTTTTTTTTTTAATGCATATAAATGCATATTATAATGCATATTTTAATAATTTTAGAAGCATATTTGTGTATTTTTTAAAGCTATAAGTCCCTAAGCCTAGTTATAACTTTTCCATCTCAAAAAATTGTCGTTATTCATAACCAAATATTCAAAATACAAGTGTTTGATAGAAACATAAACTTTTATTACATAATTTTATAATAAAACATATTTTTAAATATAATTTTTGTAATTACAATAATTGAAGACGTCTGGGTGTTTATTAGCATATGCATTAACTACTTCTTCAGGTCTTATAATTATTTCAGGGTGTTTATTAAGGTGTATTCAGGGTGTATACAATGCTAATCCGTTTAATCGATGGCATCATATTATTATGATATATTGATATTCCAGTATTTCACCGTGTGTCTGTGCGTGAAAAATAAGAGGGCCTACAATAATAAATTAAGTATAAATTACGGTGAATGGGGGGGGGGGGGGAGCGTGGGCCCCATGGGCCCACCCCTTAAATACGTCCCTGATTATAATCATTATTATCAATAGGTACCTAGGTGTTTAATATTTATTGTAGTAATGTAATGTACCATTAAGCAGTATTTATAAATAATGTACAATATTTAATGACAGTTAATCACTAAAATGTTACACAAAAAAAAAAAAAATGAAAATTGCTCTGTACGTATCAGGATGAATACAGAATACATAAAAAATATTTTAAGTTAACAATATTGTTTTCCATATAATATTAATTTGATAATTTTCATTATCTTATAAGTAGTTACGACCTTACGGGTTCCAAGAGTGAAGTAACAACTATTCAGCGTATGAGTTACGTGTGTATACTAAAATCAAATACCTATTATATTTCATAATATATGGAACTTCCACGGAAAAATAAGAAATTAAGTTTAAAAATACCAAAAATATTTTCCCGACATGAAAATACAAATAAAATGACATACCAAGAAATAATAATTACTTATTAATAATACACGAATTATGATTATGAATACAAAATCTATATGTATAAAAGAAAGTCAGGTTATTTACAGAATTTATAATTCAAAAACGGCTGGACCGATTTTGATGATCTCTGATTTGTTGGATTCGTCTCCGTACAAGAATAAAAATAACTCTAATCTCGGCAAGAATACAGACAATTATCTAGATAAGTAAAAATTTTATCTTAGATAACTTTGCATTATTTATCTAGATAAGATAAAAGATGACAAAAAATCTATCTAGATAAGTCCCAACACTGGCTGTAGGCATACAAATAGCGGTAGTACGTCCGAACCGTAAGGAGGATGTTCAAAACGTTTGTCCGAAGAAAATCAACGCACAACGAATGATTCGGAAGCTCGCGAAAAATTCTGGAAAACCGTTTTGGGCGTGTCGTGGCAGTTTTTTTTTTTACCCCTGTAAAGCTTCATTCCCCTTAATTCTCGGAGCACCGTTCATCAGCCTCCGAGTGTCTGCCGCCCACCGGGTCACGATTCGTTGTTTCCGCATTTGTCGTACACGCGCGCGCGCGCACGTATCTTGTACATCGCGTACAATTGCATTTGTGTTGTTGTACGTCGTCGTCGTCGTCGTCGTCGTCGTCATTAACGTCATCGGGCGCACGAGGTCGGGCGTTAATATTTCGCTCGCGCGCCGATCATTAAATCCGAACGGCGCAACGTGCACGGGCGACCCGTCGCCGCGAACGTACACCGCAGTACGAGTGGTCGCGCGCACGCGAAACACGAACGTCGTCCGCCGGGCCCGGCGCTACGCGCGTTCCGCATGACACGGATTTCGCCGCGTTCCTCGCGCTCGGTACGCGCATAGATTTGAGTACACCGTACCGTGTACGTTTACGCGCCCATTTTCTACTCGGTCGCGTGTTTTCCACGCGCGAGGATCCGCGACTCGTTGCACCTCCTTTCACACGATCCCGAATCGCCGGTTTTGCCGTGTCGGTCGTTTTACCGTATAAACCCAGTGTCGATGATGTTCATCTACGTCAGTGGTTCTCGACCGGGGTGACATGGACACAGTGTAGGGGTGACACGAAATCTCCACAGGAAAAGGAAAAAAATTAGAAAAAAATTAATTTTAATAAAACCATATTATTACCACAACAGTCATGTAAATAGCATACCTTTAAGTTTACATCTTTATATTATTTAGATCCAATGAATATGTGCAGTATTGTTATTAACGCAAAATCGATGTATTATCGATTTTTTTATCGACTTAACCGGGGTCGTTAGTTATTTTACAGTCGTTAGATATGTAGTATTATTATATACAAATAAAACAAATAAGTATAAAAATCTTTAAAAAATTTTCTCTTTTTTTTTTTTTTTTAATTTTAAGTATAAACTTTATAATATCAATGTTTATTGAACAATGCATCTCAATAAATTGAAGGTGTTCTACTGTTTTCTTCTGTTATTATTCTTCTGTTTTTATTGTTTTTGTTATTTCAAGAATTATTCTAAAATACACAGTTAAGATTATTTATTATTTTGATGTTAGGGTGACGCGGTGTTTAATTCTAGTGGCTAAAGGTGACATGAATGAAAAAAGGATAAGAATCACTGATCTACGTGGTGCGTCCATTCGGACGATACGGTATTGCCACCGTGAATTACCGATCTTGTCGAACTGCAAATCGTTCTCGGTCGTACGGCTGAAAACCCCGATTCGGTTTATCGTGGCAACGTACGCCGCGTTCAGACGATTCGATATTTTGACCGACGGTGCGTCATTTTTCGTCTGTGTGCTCCTTCTGCCAACACGAATGAGACTGAAAACCGATTACGGTACCGCAGGGTTGCTGCGTACGGTGTACCGTCCGAACAGTCCAACCGAAAAGCACCGGATCGAGAAAATATCCGATACGATAAAATATCGAATCCGTTGAACGGGCTCTTACGGCGCTGGTGTACATCGCGTATGGTGTACGCGCGCGGCCAGGCCCTGAAACGGTCGGTCGAACGGGTCCTGCAGCGCGCGGACGAGCCCATCTATGGCGTCGTCAACGCACGCATTCTGCAAACGAATCGAAACTTGTTGCATAGAAGTTGTTCAGCGTTTTTCTGCACGTGTTCAGGATCGATTTTAGGGCGGAGGGCGGGGGAATAAAAATACATGATTCTGTTATTATTTCAATGATAATATTTATGCAGTACAAAATGCATAACAACGTGTACAAACCATAAGCATTAATAAAAAAATAATGGTTAAATACAATTTTAAGCCATAAAACAAAGTCAATCTTTGTTCTATGGAACAAACTTTCTACGGACTGACGATAAAGCTAAAACTGTTATGCCGGTGGTCACAACCGGGGGAGGGAGGAAAATTGATGATAAAATTACGAAAATAATTATGTTTAATACATTACGTAAAATTGAAACCACTATATATTTTACAGATTATTCCGCATCGATAACAATTATATTTTTATAGACCTTTTCACATTGAACTTAATATTGATAGGTACAAAGTTTGATTCTTACAACTAAAAATCGCCTAAACTCTAATTTAAGGGGGGGGGGGGGAGGGGGGGGGGGATATGGGAATGAGATTTTTGAAAATTTACTCGGTGGCAAAGGATGAAAACGGCGGGGAACCACTGTGTTAGGCGATTTTTACCGCAGCATTTTTACCTTAAACAATCGTCTTAAAATTGAAAATTTTTTTTCGAAAAAAAAAAACCTAAAATAAACTGTAGTTGTACATACGTTTTAGATAAAGTTTGTTGTATTATAAATACGTACTTACTTTAAAAATGTTGGAGGGGAGGTTGAACCACTAACCCCTCCCACACACAACTGTATACGGGCTTGGTACGATTAGTACGAGTAAACTTTTGTTACACACTTTCAAATTTCGTATAGTACGCAATTTAGTGTTTCGTATAGCACTACACACAAAATAAATCGCCATGTAATGCGCACAATTTTAGACACCGTACATAGATGTGCACAATACGTACACTATACTGACATCCGCGGACCATCGCATCACATAGATTGTTGGTGTTATTTTTCTAATCCCTTTTTCTAACCTGCTGTTGCCCGTTTCCGATCCGTGTACACAGTCCGAACCAATTTCATTTAGTGCACACGATCTTATTGGCGCGGTCGCAGAACACTACGTAATTACGTACGATCGATGCGCGTTTGCGTTTTTTTGTACGATTGTACGTACACAATACCGAATAACAACTTCATCATTTTGCTCGGACGTTTTTATTAATTTTTATACGAATGTGCGTGTGCACATAATACGGTGTTATATATTTACACTATTCCGGAGCACCTGTGGTTTTTTCATTTTTTTTTTTTTTTTATATAAATTGTCGTTCGTCGTCGGTTCGTTTTATGTGATCACGTTTGCCACAGCTACGAAAATCCATGCAGATAGTTCGTACGAGTTAAACTGCACACAAATTATTTATGAATATATTTTCGTTATGGTACATAAATCGTATGCTTTCGTAGTACCCCACAAAAGTTTACGAAATAATAGACCGCAGTTACGTCATCGACAAATTCCGGAGAGTACAAGTAGCTGCAGATGACGACATTAAATGTCGTAAATATAAATAAATTTTATCTGCAATGTATGCGATCGTCTTCAGACGCACGACTCTTGAACTATTAATCTTGTACTTCAATTATCTTTTTAAGTAAGATTCATAGTTTAAATCGGGTATGCAGTACTTTTTAAATTTCACGAGTTTCCTGAGATGTGTCATAAAAGATACTCGATTATTCAAATTTCGGTACAGTTTCAGTTAAATTAAATGCTGTATTTATTATGTTACATAATCAAATGAAAATAGTCTTTAGTGTTGAAGTTTGCTGTTTGAAATGTATATTAAACAATTCATTGAATATTATAATCATATCCATTACTTGAATTAAATATTTCAAAACTGTTTAAAATGATCGCATTAACCATGTAACATCGATTTTTATTCAGTAAATACCTGTTGTATGTGTATTCATACTTAAATTGTAATAAAAAAAAGGAACTGGTGAATGGGATATAATTTAAATTACTGTTTTATTTGCACTACGTTATTATAGGTACATTAAACGAAGAAAATTTACTGAAAGAATACAAACGATAATATCACTGTGTTCACAATTATTATAATAAAAGCTACTCCCCATTATAGAGTACGAGTATAAAATAGATTTGCATCAGACATTTTCCCAGGAGTTGAAAATTCAACGTTATTATTTACTTAGATTTATTTCAAATTGAAATATGTAAATTTTTATGTCTACTTCAATACGTTTTTAAATATAAAAAAAAATGTTTGTAATATTTTTTTTAGCGATGAGTAACTTCTTCTTAACTTAAATAATTATATTAGCGTGAATCCAGTATCGAACATTTTTACCCGTGAAAGATAAACATTTATCAATTATTATAAACCGTAGGAAACGGAATATGGTTTATAATGTTGATTTCAACCAAAATAAAAATTCTGTACATACAACATAATTAATAAAACAATTTAATTGATCATAAATTAAAATATTTAATTTTTATTGATTGCCATTTTAATGAAACTATTATTAATTTTGAAGACTTTTTATACAGTATAATAAATATACAATCAATAGCTGTTGGGTGTAAAAACACATACTCGTATTTAAGGATTCAAGTAAAATACTTAATGCAAAGAACTCGATTTAAACACACGTATCTATATTATACTTATAAAAACAACTTTGAATTGAGAGTTTTATGGTGCAAATTTGATTATGCTCGTTAAAAATGTATTTATAAATGTAACTATGTCGTAATAAAAGGTTTTCAGTTATCTAAATAACAAATAGTTTGTGGGTATATATTTAATTTATTCGATTTATAATTGCATTTTCGTTGTTAAAATTCCACAATTCACACATGTCGAAATTTCAAGACAGACCGCCGGGCGCTTCGAGCTTGAAACATTCTAATTGCGTGCGAACGTAGTGATCGAAAACAAATGGAATTGAAATAACTCAGGAGGAGGCGTCACACTGATATTTTTTAGTTTCTATCTGGTATCATTTATGATCTATACGATTCTAAATATAAAATCTAATCTCATTTGGGTGCGATGACTGCATATTGTAATATTTTAATTTTAAAATGTTTTCGAGCTTTGTGATTGTGATAGTGAGTTGTATTTTCTACTCTTTATTAGTAATATTATTAATGGGTACGGGTACGCATAGTAAACAGGTTATCACGATTCACATAATTTCGTCTTGTTTTACGTTAAAAATAATTCGATTTGATAACACAACCGTATATAAATAAGATTTATTACATATTTATGATATTTCAATATAGGTACTCATAATAGTGTATTACATACCTTAATACTTATTCGATAAATTTAACTCAATCAGTTTTTTAAATTACATAATTACATTCCATCACATTATAATAACTTGATAGATTAGATTATTTATTTTTTAATTTTAATTATTAAAGATTAGTGAGTTTATTTATTTCTATTTTTATGGAATTTAAATAGGAATAATGTTCATACTATATCAGTCGTAGTAGTATGTGCTGATATCAAGCAAATCGCACTAAATATATAATAAACTATTGTACTTAAACAAATAAATAAAATAATAAACAATACGATTCTATGTGTTTTTGTAATGATAAGTTCGAGACCATATACAAACCATATTAACGAACAAATCCTAATTATATTTCAATCCGCATTTCATGAAAAGTTTATTACGCTTTAGTAATACACCATACGTTGAAATATAACTTTTGGCCTTTTGGACACACAACATACAAATTAATAATATGCTTTTAATAATTAATGATAAGATACTTTGTTACTTTTATGATTTTGAATAATTAGTTGAACGACCTTAATATTACTGTAGAAATGTTAGACTAGTAAATAATGAAAACTATTCAAAGTATTAGTCAACAAAATTATTTTACATTTTTTCTACCAAATAAGAAAAATTTTACACACATATAAAAATATTTAAATGTGCGAAAAGATCGGAAAACGAGTTTAGACAGCTGGTAGAGAATTTTTAAAGACACACTATTTTCTGAAATATTTATAATACAACTATATAATAAAGATTCACGGTGACAAATCGAAGTCAATAATCCTATTTAATTTAAATTCATTAAAAATACAGGTTCAAGTGGCTATACGAAATTAGAAAAACTATTCATACTAAAAGGTATAAATAAATATTTACTTAAACTTTCAATGTTAATGCTTACATCTTTAATGAATTATTTACTTTTCACACGTTATTCCTCAAATAATATTATAATTAATAATTATTGTTTGTAAAAGCTATATACATTTATGTGTCTCCTTATTAATAATTGTTGTATTTGTATATGTTACCATTGAAAATATAGAACAAGAATTAAATATAATTTATATTTATTATTTTTTTTTTTTTACAGAACGTAAACATATTATAATTTTTGGAAATTCGTTCATTAGACCTATGGATTTTAAATAAATATATATATATATATATATATATATATATATCATAATTAATGTTTAAATATTATTTAGAATTATTTAATTATTTGAGTACTATGAGTATTATGAGTAATGAAATATATATATACTAAGTTTATAATTATTTTCAGCTGTTTTTCAAATTAAACAAAATCATTGAATGCATTTGACCATTTGGTGGATAGATTACTGCCATATATATTTCTCTCTTGTATAGAAATTTAGTGTCCTAAATGTGTACTGACCTAAGTAGTTAGTAGACATAATTATTACTGACATTCATTCACAACACCATAATTACGTCTCGTGAATATATTTTACTAACTTTTTTGATATATTTGTATTTTATATACGATGTATAAAAAATAATATAATATCATATATTAATTTATTATATATATTATACATATAATAATAGATCAAATATGGCAGGATTATTTATACGGTCATATGTAAAAATGGCCAGTTCAATAATTTCATTTATATTCGGATAAACGCAAAAAAATGTCCTAGATTTGACTACGAATTAATTGAAAATAACAATAAATATTTTTACTACACTTAGAATACTTATTTTACATAATTTTTACTTCTATATCGGGTTTTGGGATTTATTGTACACAGATTGTAGGAAACATACATTCATTTATGTACTTAAAATAATCGAAATATGTACAAAAATGTGGTACTAAATGTTTTTATAATAGCAATTGAAATTAATTTTTTTAAATTTTATTTATTAAATTTTAAATATAGATCATTTTTTATACCTAGTAAAGTTTTTGACAAAAATATCTTTATAAGTCTAAAACTCAGGGGTGAATACATGAGTAGCGATGTTTAGGGGTTCAAATTACCAACCTAAAATATCTTTAAATTTTTTTTATAAAAACATGAACTGACCTATAAATTTAATAGTTATTTCAAAGTTTTTCAAGAGACTTGCAAATAATATGTATATATATATATATATTGTAAAATAAATAATAAAGCATGCTATTTATCAAAACCCCCAAAATTTTTCTTTGCGTTCGCTATTACTAAAATCATAATATGATTTTTTATTTATACCATCATATAGAGTTATAATATTATTATATCTCTATATGATCGATTTAATTTTTTTCGTCTTCTTCTCTTACAAAGAAAAAAATTTTTGTATTTCAATATGTTATGTCTAAAGAAATTTATATCTTTATCGTGTGATGATAATAAATGTAACTGTATTAATATTTATTGAGAATCTTACTGCGCTAATGTATTTAATATGTGTTACGCAACTTTACACTATATATGTTAAAAATAAATAAAATGATATTTGATCAAAATTATAGATTTTACATATGAATATAATTTGTTTTAATCTGTGCGGTTGAAGTTGAACAATCTGTAAAGTATGAAATTTTCTTTGACGAAAATATAATATTTTTAAATTTAAAAATGTATTTATTATATCAATAATAACATTGTTAGCATATAGTTATGTGTACAGCCAGGGCCGCACAGGGTGGCAAATTTTAAAGGGCGGAAAAATGTTGTTGAATATTGGTTACAAATTTGAGGATTTACGAATCAGACTTAGAAAAAAATGAATTTATAAATGAACTATTACATTTTCGTTCTCATCAAATTACAAGTTTTAATGAAAAGAAAATGATTCCGTTTTTGCTAT